AATATAATATAACATAATATAAATATAGTATAATATAATATAGTATAATATAAATATAATATAATATATAATATATATAATATAACATAGTATAATATAATATAGTATAATATAACATAGTATAATATAATATAGTACAATATAATATAATATAGTATAATATAATATAGTACAATATAATATAGTATAATATAATATAGTATAATATAGTGCAATATAAAATGGTGTAATATACTATACTGTGGACACGGTGGAGTAGAGGATAAGTGGCTCGAATTGAGGAATCGGAGAGCCGAGTTCGAATTCCAGTTTAATACATTCATTTACGTGCTAACACCCCCAGCCCCAGCAGGGCAAACTGTGTTCTGTAGACTTCGATGGCAACTGGTTTAGGAGAAGGACAAATTTGAATTCAAAACCTGAGGAGGGTCGTATTGCACAAGGTTTCTGTATTCGGTTCTTCAAAAAGTTCGATTGGCTCTGTACAAGACCTTCACCACTAGAATCAAATCATATATGTGCTGGTGTCTGGCTGTAGGTTCCTAGGAACTAAGGTACTTGACCCTCATACGTCGGAAAAACGACGACAGAGTCCAGCCTATAAAATACTGATATTTATAATAGATAATCATGACTATATCGAAACAGTGTACCGGTTTGAAGGAGTGTCTTTAGAGTGCATTCATTTTTTTAAGTGCTCTACATTTGAAGCCTGAAGTAAAAATATAAGCTTATTTTCGTAACTAACGTTGAACATAAAATTGATAATTATATCCTGTATTTGATGTAAACGAATTTCAAGATCTCTACAATATAAGATAAGTAATAATTGAAAATCAATCTTTTACCTGTCATCCTTTTTTCCTGACTGAAGAGTTTCTGATAGAAGGTGAATTTGTTCATATACCCTCCCACTGTCGGAACAAGATATAACGATATGAGAATCGAAATTAACAGTACGTCTTGCCATGATAGCTCTTAAACTAGCGATGGTAGCAGGAAACCACAGTCCGTTTGCCTAAAGGAAAGAGTTAATAACTTCATAGATGATAATCATCTTCTCAAACGTTCGAAAAAAAGAAGTCTTGCGTTTATAATTCTTTTTTCAAGCAGAAAATTCGCTTCTCTTCGAATAGAAAAGTCTGGCAGTATATCTACTAATGCTGAATATTTACAGCAACCGATGTAATACAAACGAAATTATATTGAACTGTGTAACCCATTCAAAGCAACTTGAGTGACACAAATGCTTCCATATATTCTTAACATGAATTTGTTTTTTATGTGCAGACAATACCAAAGCATTAAAATTCTCAACCAATCTTAGTAAATAGCTAAGTGGAATAAAGCGTTTGTTCCTGAATTTGCTGATGTAGTAATTTTCAGTTCGACCTCTGAAAACAGGTGGTTAAATTTAATTTCATTGAAATAAGGCAAATAATATATAATCCTGAGTATATTTACTTACGCTCAAATACAGTTGAAAGGCATGAATCTAACTCTTCCCCTCCCTAGCTATGAGTCAGTTAGACTGATTTGTATCACTAAGCCATTATTATCTCCAGAAAAGTAATTCTTACAAAATATTTTTCTGTTCTTAAATAACCTGCAAAATGGCCGATACTCTGTAGAAAACAAATCAACCAACCAAGATATTTTAAAAAGTAACAGTGTACATCACTTAAATACATCTAATAGTATCAGCAAATGTAATGCACCATGTAACTAGAAACGCTTTTATAATGTTATGCAATGTTCTGAATTGTCTATGCTTACAGACTTTTGAAGGATGTGGCCTTCTGAAAAGTATTGCCTCTTGATATGATGGAATATGCATACACCTGCGTTCCCCCTCACTGGAATATGATCGGCTGGTGTCTGTCATAAATACAGACGGACGTGTAGGTACGACACAGTTTAAGTTTATGACGACGCCCATTGGACTACGCCATTGGCTATCCTATTGGTCTACACCTATTACCTGCGACTATGACTAGTACCAGTCGATTACTACTACCGTGTACTACTTGGTTACAGTAGCCAAAACCACTTAGCTACTTCGATCAAATATATCCCTTTCCGGGACATATCACCACTAAAACATCATTACGTGTTTTATGCCGCCGAATACAGTAGAAAACTTATAATATAATATAATATAATGTGGATAGGGTGGAGTTGTGGATAGTGGTTCGGATTGAGGTATCGGAGAGCCGAGTTCGAATTCTAGATGAATACATTACATTCACTTACGTGCTAATACCCACAGCTATAGGTAAATAGCAAGACAAACTGGGTTCTATAGACTTGGATGGCAACTGGTCTAGGAGAAGGACAACTCTGAATTCAAAATATGCGGACGGTAACTAGAAGTAGAAATAATGTTATATTCAAGATATTAACTTTTCACGCAGCCTTAAACAAAAGTTTAGGATAAAAACTCCGAGTAGAAATAGCAATACCAGCACACGTAACACTTATTTTCAGAAAAGAATTTTAAGGGAAAGTTTTTATTAATTTCAAACTGCGGTGGCCGGAACTTTTCAGTTGAATATCTTCTGCTTGGAAACGGCTACCTCACCACTATCAAAACAACTGTATATTAAATGATTGTATTAAAAATGATTAGGATAATGAAGGGTTTTACAAGTCAACAGTCGTATACGTTTAGAGCGTTGAGTTCTAAGCAAAAACAACATACCATGAATATTTAAAATATCATACTGAAAAGGCTTTCGGAACATTCACAACTTTAATGTCAAATACAAAAAATTCTAGGCTCGAAGATTACATTCTAAAATCCCAGACTCTAATATCAAAATTTCTAGGGTTAAGTTGGAATAATTGTAATAGACGCTATAGTTAAGTTTGGAAAATCCCAAACTCTATGGTCAAATTCTGTAAATCTAAAATCCGACATCCAAAAGTTTAAATTTGGAAAACTCAAAACACGAACATTAAATAAGTGTAGGAACAAACTGTATAACATTAGGAATATCCGATAAAAACGTAAAAAAGAACTAAATAATAATAATTATTATTATTATTATTGAAATCGAAATCTCAAAAATATGGTGCATGGAAAATCAATAATCACTGTTGTAGTTGGAGCCCTAGGAAAGGTTGGAAAAGACTCCAGTAGACTAATTGAAAGGATTCCTGGAAGTCCATGCCTCAAAGAGATACAAAAATTGTTCTGACAAGTACAGCCACTTTTACGAAGGGCTTTATCTATGTTTTTTTTTTTTTTTGTCAGTGGAAAGTGTCATGATGCTATTTTAACCTTAGGTCCCTGGGCGGGACACGGAAAGAAATGTGTAAACGCCAGAAATCAAAAGAAAATAATAATAATAATAAATAATAATAATAATAATAATAATAATAATAATGATAATAATAATGTTGATTTATTTCCATTGATTTTTTAATGTGTACACATTTCTTTCCGGTCCTGCTCAGAGACCTGAGGTCAGAAATGACATCATCATATTTTCCACTGAGTAATATATTATATATATATATATATATATATATATATATATATATATATATATATATATATATATATATATATAGTCGACTCTCCTGTCGAATTCGATGTATGAGGATCAAGCAGATCAGTTCCCAGGAAATCGACAGCCCGACAACAGCACATGAGATTTGATTATAGTGGTGAAGGTTTTGCAAAGACCAGCCACACTTTTTTTATATATATATATATATATATATATATATAGATATAGATAGATAGATAGATGGATAGATAGATAGAGTTCTTCGTAAGGTGTGGTCTGTATTTGTGAGAACATTTTTTTGATTTTCTTTAAGGCATGGGCTACTAGTAATCCCTTCAATGAGTCTATTGGAATCTTTTCCAATCAATCCGAGGGGGTCAAATACGACGGGAACCTTTGAGATTTTGATTTCAAGGTCTTTTTATTTTGAAAGCTTTTTGAAGATCTTCAAAGATACAGTCTGCAGGAACTGCCATATCAATAAGGAGGCTATTTCTTTGTTTGCGGTCTCTAATAACAATATCTGGGCGGTTAGCGTTGATTGTTCTGTCTATGTATATTGTGAAATCCCATAAAATTGTTGCAGGTCCTATCACCGTAACCGGAAATAATAGTAATAATAATAACAATAATAATAATAAATTATTATTATTATTGTTATTATTATTGTTATTAATATTTATTATATAAAAGGAAATAATTATCTAATAATGATAATGATATTAACAATAATAATAATAATAATAATGATAATTATTATTATTATTATTAAATAATTATTTTTTTTTTACTATCAGGTTGGTGCATAATTATCAGGCATTTTTAATACTATATATTATTTGAAAATCGCTTGATAGTTGTACATCAACCGATGTTATTATCTGACATTTTAAATTATAATTTCAAATTCCGTTTTCAAATATGATTCGCTGGATAAATTGCTAAGGCGTCGTCCATGTGAGACGGGATATCAGGGAGACAAAATGAGCTTTCAGATTATGGTCAAAGGTCACCTGTTTATTAGGGAAAATTACTGCATGACGCCGTACAAATTGTCCCCACCCTCCAAACGAAAAATGTAGAAATTGAAAAAAGACACCAGAGACTAAATTAAGAGCACGAAGTTGTCAAAAATTAAAAAGTGACGTATATATTATTATTATTATTAATAATAATACATACATACATACATACATACATACATACATACATACGTTCGACTCGTAATCGTTGCTTGAAGAATTTCCGCACTTAATTCGTTGTTAAAACATGCGACTGTTTCTCTAAGTCAACATGCCCTAGGCTTGAACCCCAATTCGTACGGCTTAGAACCGGTTAAGATCAATAGAGAAAATCCTCTCATGTGCAATGTTAGTAAACCAGCGATTTGAACCAAACAAACATTCACTTCCGACTTCAGCCTCTGGAGATCCGGTTCCTGATTTGATTGTCATGTATGAAACATTTAATATTGACGTCAGCAAGATGTCTCAGAGCAACGTCGTGTCAGGAATATTTCAAGGGCCTACATGTGATATTCATCACTTTTTCTACAGACAGGCGCACCCATAAAAAAATAAAGATAAAAAAAAGCAACAATAACAATAATAACGCTAGAGCACTTACACATAATTTCCGTTATTTTAGATCAACACGCGCTCAAACTGATACTGCTCTGAAGTTCAGCCGGACGACAGAATCAATCACAACAAATGAACTGAGCGTCGTTTATAGTTTCTCAACTGAGACATATTACGTGTTTGGCCGTCTTTTTTTATGGAAGGTCAATGGCGCTTAGCTTTTTTAACGCCAGGTCACAAGGGTCCAGCAATAAAGAGTAGTATGTCAGAAGACAATATGCAAGGCCGAGTGATTGAGATCATATCGACATGGAATAAAGTCTGTACTGTTTATTTGAGTCAACGGAGCAGAAAGAAACGAGTCACTTGATGCAAGGTGGATTTGTTGGTCGATAGAGCGAAAGAAATGCGCTTGTCATTGCCAGGACCATTTGCTTCGGAAAAGACATCGCTTCGTTGATTCCTGATATAGCTGTTGGGATTGCTTTCTATTATCTATCTATCTATCTATCTATCTATCTATCTATCTATCTATCTAAACTCTTGTCTCCTTGTTCTTCTTTGCTTCCATCTATCTATCTATCTATCTATCTATCTATCTATCTATCTATCTATCTATTTTCTTGTCTCCTTGGTCTTCTTTGCTTCCATCTATCTATCTATCTATCTATCTATTTTCTTGTCTCTTTGGTCTTCTTTGCTTCCATCTATCTGTGTGTGTGTGTGTGTTTGTGTGTGTATGCGCGTGTGTAATTTCTATATATATTATATATTCGTGGTACTTATTGGAAAGCGCTCAATATCAGTGATAGAATTGTATTGATGTGAGTGTGTGACCCTGGGTTTCAGGATCTTACATTAATTGAACAAGTCCGATTTTCATGCCGAAGCAATTTTCAAGAGTTTATATTATATTTCATTTACTTACAATTTAGGTTAAACTAAGATATAAATAAAAAATAATTTCAGCACTTAAAATTACTTCGGCATGAAACTCAGAGTTGTGCAATTAATGTAAGATATATATATATATATATATATATATATATATATATATATATATATATATATATATATATGAAGAAAGAAAAGAACAGTAAGATATATCACCCGGTGTTCTTATTGATATTTTTTATTTTTATTTTTACAAAACAGTGCTGAATGTAAATTTACAGAGCATAAATATTATAAATTAACTGATTTAAAATATGTTTTTTTCGCTACACACTAATAACCATGTTTCAAAAATGAAAGCTAAAAACTTTAAATTTAATTATATAATTAAATTAAAAGCATTAGTTCCGTTTCATCTTCAAGCGAATATTAGAATAACTTATTTTTAACTTTACTGAGTTTTAAACGCACATATAAATTCATAATTTACTGTATCCAAGGATACAGAAAAATTCAATCATACAGACGGGGGCGGTAGCGTGTTCATTTTTATTAACTATTGTTGTATCAATTATGAGTTACGTTCGAAAAAGAGATTAAGTTTAGGGAGAGTAGAGGTGTATTTTACAACGAATTCTGATATCCGTTAAATGTATGTCGTCTGGGTTTTGATTATTATTAACGGCAAAATCTTTTCGGCATTTTTTCTTACTGGTATATACTTAAAGATTCTTTCTGGGGGTGTTAAAAGGATTAGAATACGTTTTATTTAGCTACAATTTTAAAATATTTTCACTCTTAATTACTAATGCACTATATTTCTTTTTAAAACAAGTAAAATTACTTACATTATTTATATTTATTTTTTTCATATCACATATAAGTATATATATATTACCAGCTCGCATATTTTAATTTTATTTTTAAATATTATTTAAGGTAAAGTTTTGAAAATGACAGCAAAAAATAGCTATTTCATTTCTCTGATTCAGTAATTTTTTATTTTTCATAAACTAGGTAATATATAGTTTCTCATGTATGCACAAAGGACATGGGTCATTTAAGACCTACATATTCTAGCTTTTTTTATTAACTTCCATTTTATTGTCTTATTGGATTCTTTTAAATGCCAGAAATACTTTGAAAACGATGTCTTATTTCTGTACTTATTTATCCTATATAATGACGTCAGACATTATGAAATGGACAAAGTCCGACAATTATTTAAAGACATTTTTATGTTTATACTTTCTTTTTATAGATACAAATATTTAAGTATAAGTTAATACTCTGTTTGTAATAAACAGTATTAAACAACATTTACCGGTCTGAATGTCCGAGAAATTTTCACAGAAAATATTCGTCCTCCGACAAGATTTTTTACTGTTTATTATAAACAGAGAATTTACTTAAATATTTGTATCTATAAAAAGAATGTATAAATATATATAGTTTGTCTGACGATCGCTAAAGCGTGAAACCCAGGGTCACACGCTCACATCTATCCAACCAAATATGTTAGCTCTATCTCTGATATTGAGCGCTTTCTAATAAGTACCGCGTATATAATATATAAATAATTATAGATACTTATATTTATTTATATTTATATACACTTTTCACACACACACACACACATATATATATATATATATATATATATATATATATATATATATATATATATATATATATATACATTAAATAACACTGTAAGTTACCATTGGGTACTATTTTTCTTAGCTATAGAGTATTTATACTTATTTGTATACGATCGCTCGCTCGTATACCTATCTGTATAGGGCACCTCGAAGCGGCGTAATCGCTAGCAAGCTTGTCTCGTAGAACATTTAAGACTGAATAGTGAGTTCGGTCCTCACTGGGTACCCCACACTTCCCAGCTTGGGCCACATCTAAGCTACGCTTTGAAAAACATTGGGCACCTCGAAGTGGTGTAATGGTTAGCAAGCTTGTCTCGCTAGAACAATTACGACTGAATAGTAAGTTCAATCCTGACAGCGTGCTCCTTACTTTCGGCCTTGTGCCACATACAAGCTACGCTTGGAAAATTCCTATACTTACATATATTTACCCATTCGGTGTTATATATATATATATATATATATATATATATATATATGGAGGCACAGTGGATAGCGGCTTGAATTGTCGAATCGGAAAGCCGAATTCGAATTCCAGTCGAATCTATTACATTCACTTACGTACTATTACCCTTGGGAAAGGTGTGAATCCTCTTATTCTCCCTCCACACATGGGTAAATAGCAGGACAAACTGTGTTCTATAGCATTGGATGGCAACTTGTCTAGGAGAAGGACAACTCTGAATTCAAAACCTGCGGAGGGTCGCTTGGGGACTTTGTGGCACGCAGTGCACCAGGTCTCTGTATTCGGCCCTTCAAAAAATGTGGATGGTCCTGCAGGAAACCTTCACCACTATCATCGAATTTCTTGTGCTGTTGTCGGGCTGTCGGTTTCCTAAGAACTGATTTGTTTGATCCTTATACGTCGAATTCGATGGGAGAGTCGAGTATATATATATATATATATATATATATATATATATTAAGCAAATCGACCCAAGTAAGGCGGTTGTGCCACTAGCATGCAAAGGGTTATAGAGAGTGAGAATAAAGAGGATTGAAAAGGATAAAAAGGACAGGGATCAAGGTCAAGACAACAGAAGATGTCGATTGACATTACATTTGAATATTTGAAGATTATAGCTATCAGGGAAGCAAATGATAAGAAGGGTTTTCCAATGACGGGAGCCGCGAGATGAGAAGCTGTTTGAGTAGAAGAGATGGCTATATTTAGACGTTTCGACCGTGAAAGAGTGGGACCGAGATGCCAATCTAGTAGCACGCTTAAATTCATGCAGTTTGGGAAACAGTGAAATTAGCTCGTCGGAGCAGTTGACATGAATGTACTTGTAGAAAAGACAGAGGGAAGCTCCAGCACGTTTGTAAGATAGCGACTGCAGACAGGATATCATATCAGGAAAAGCCACATTGCATATCAGTCTCTGGATTTTGTCTAGGACGTCGAGATGAACAGCAGGAGCACCAGACCATATATGGCAGCAGTATTCCATGCGAGGTTGATTTGTAGATTTGAAGGGTGAACTCAGGCGAGGAAAACATTCTGGCGCGACGCAGGGAATCAACTTTCCTTTCGATAGATGAAGCTATAGATTCAATGTATTTTTTCCACTTCAACCGAATGGGTAAATATAGGATTGCGGAGCAAATGTTAGCAAGAAGATAAAATTTATTAAGAGCTACAAAAAACAGGATATTGTGTAGTGCCATGATCGTTAACGTCCTTATTATATCTGTAATATAAATTCATCGTTAATGATTTTACTAATTTATAGTGTTGGAAATTAGAAAGAAAGTTATTGTTGCTTTTCAGGAATTAATGTAAGCTTTACTGATAGAATAGGATCGTTATATGCATAATATAAAAAGATCATTAATAGCTTACCTATTTAAAAAAGCTAGATGAAGAAGAAACTTGAAGCTGAAGAAATGTGATCCAAGAAAAAAAGATGCTGAGGATATCATGGACCAAAAAGGAAACTTGTAACTTAACATTAAGAAGAGACAGTTGAAATTATTGGAGTGCGTAATGAGGAAGGACGGTTTGGAAAATCTAACACTCACAGGGAAGGTTGAGGGCAAGAGGAATACAACATGTAACTTACTTGATGGGCTGGACCAAATGGATAGCTGAAATAAACAAAAAAAAGACAAAACTTATTAAGAGCTACAAGAGACAGAAAGATGTGGAGGGCTATGATCTCCTACGTCCCGAAGGGGACACGGCATATTAAAAATCGTAAAAGAAGAACCTGTGCTTTGCTTCTTATATATACTCATGCTTAATTTTCTCACATTCAATATTCTTCATATAAACGTTTTTCGCTTCGAGGATCGATTCCTTTAATCAATACGGCTAACACTGTTTCTTTTATTGCAATCAATTCAAGTCTCCCGCTGTAATCGACCATTTCTCGAAACTCTACGTCAAACATGGCTTCCGTGCCTTTGAAATCTAAACAGCTTGCTTTATTTCTTCTATCCAGTATTAATTCTTGCGAGTCAAAACACAGAAAGCCTGCCTCGTCACCTTAACCTCTGACCTAATAAGAAGCCAAAGGATTTCAGATCATATGTGTTGAACCTTTGGGCAAATCTTTGACTGACCCCAATACGGAAACAAGACGATTACTGCGTAACTTTTGTTTTTTCGCTTTCCCCCAAAACAAATTCCACCAAGTATTGGCCTTCGGGAATTAAACATTACCATTCCTAAGGTCTTACCGGCATATAGATACCGTGATTGTGTTCGTCGGCGAAGCAGTGGTTTACATTGGAATTATGTGATCAAATGGACAATACATGTCTGTAGCGACTGCAGCATATTGAGTTTTGATTTTATGATGATCTACGGTAAGAAAATCGCCAGATAGATGAGTTTATAAACCGTTTTTATTCTCTTATCTTTCTATCAATCCCTATATCAATCTATCTATCTCTCTCTCTATCTCGCTCTATCTATTTCTCTCTCTCTCTCTCACTCTCTCTCTCTCTCTCTATATATATATATATATGTATATGTATATCAGTTTGTGCACATCTATATATCTATCTTAATATTTTTGTATCCATTTATTTTCAAATATATCAAATTCTGTTAATCGTTACTTATCTATCTATTTATCTATACAGCCTATTAATATCTATCTATTTTCAAAATTATCCGTTTTTTAATATTTATCTTATCACAGCCTGATATCTATCTATCTATCTATCTATCTATCTATCTATCTATCTATCTATCTATCTGTATATATATATATAGATAGATAGATATATATAGATATATATATATATGTTTTCATCCAAGTCTATTGATAATTCTCTTTCTTTGACTTCTTTTGAAATCTATTAAATCATTTATCTATTTATATATCTACCTATCTATATATTTATCAATCTATCTCTCCTTTTTCAAATCAATCTCAGTCTCTATCTATCTATCTATCTATCTATCTATCTATCTATATATATATATATATATATATATATATATATATAGAGAGAGAGAGAGAGAGAGAGAGAGAGAGAGAGATGAATAGACACAAATAGATATGGGCAGTCGGAAAAGAGAGACGTTCATGATTATAGATCACAATTTCCAGTCCATTTTGCTGTTTGTAAATTTTGTCTTTCTTTTATATCTTCGGCAACCAAATCTGTCCCCGAGGTAGATTATACGCTATTTTCGATTGTCTCTCATTTATTCAGTATGCATCTGTTCGTATCAAATTAAAAAAAAAAAGTCGACACACACACTCTTTATTTATTATGTGCCCTACAAATTTCAAACGTTTTTTTTTTTCTAATGTTAAGTAAAATTCTCCTTTTGTTTCCATTTTCAGACCCTGACTCTGCTAGGTAGATATGGACGGACTGCAATTGATAGATAGATAGATAGATAGAGAGAGAGAGAGAGATATTTATATATATATATATATATTTACATATATATATATATATATATATATATATATATATATATATATATATACATATATATATATATAATTTCCTTACATGTCAATCCTTTTATACATTTATTATGGTTCTGTAGACTAATAACTAAGCATGTGGCATTTACTTTACAAAATACTAGCGTCTCATTTTGTTCAAAACATCTTTTTTTTTACCTCGACTCCCGGGAATGCAGATTTCGAGCTGATAACGTGTAGACGTTTAATGTCCAGGAATGACTATTAAATTAACGGAAACTCAGTTTCGATGTTCCAAGAAGGGAGATGGAATCTAGGCATTAAAGTAAGGAATTTTTTCACGATCATGTTCGAAGAACATTCATGCAAAACTAATTATATATATGGTGTCCTAAATTATAGGTACATTTTTTTTCATACATAAAATATGCCGGTAACTCTACAGGGTTTACAGGAAAATATATGCTTAAGTAAATAAAGTTTCATTTAAACACTTCCACAAACGTTCAATTTTCTTTTTTCATTAAACTTATTGATCCAAGCACGTATTCTAATAGGACTTGTCGTTTTTTTGTATACAATTGAAATCGTACACATATTTTAGGGATTATATATATATATATATATATATATATATATATATATATATATATATATATATATATATATATATATATATATAAAAGCGATAGAAATTACGAGGATTTGAGATAATCATAAGTAATACATCGAGTCTAGAAAAATATCAACAAAAAGCACAGGACGGCCGTTTCGTCCTATACATTGGACTCATCAGCAGTACGCGTCTAAGAACGAGAATTGAAATCCGGACTGTTACGACACGATACAATCGTCATACCAACTGTACCAACGGACACTTGTGACGAGGGGTAACGATTTACACTCGATAAAACGCCGCTCGATCACATATTCCGTGGTGGAACACATCGGAGTTTCCTTTAGCCATAGGATTGTGTCCCCACGAGCCACGAGTACTAACCCCAAGCCGCTCCATCCAGAGCATTTGAAGCCGGTTCAAGCAAGGATATAATTCGTTACGTTATGACCTTTGTCTCACATCGTGACGGCCCGGGTTTCTATTCTCGGGTGTGGAGGCGCACAGCTGATGAGTCCCAAATCTAGGAAGAAACGACCGTCCAGAGTTTTTATAATATATATATATATATATATATATATATATATGTTTAAATGTGTCAATCTCTGGACCTCCTCAAGTAATTTTAAGTATGAAAGAATAGAAATATTAAATTACATCTAACTCACTCATGTCTTCTCTCTCCCCCTTACTTTCTCACTTTGTTAATTTACATATGCTTAATGTGTAAATTTCTTTTCATTTTTCGTTTCAACGTTTGGTAGTAAAGTCTGATGATCCGCAGTCCTTTGAAAGGGCTGTGATGAAATAATTTATTACATGGAACCTTAAAGTGGTCTGTTTTTATTTAATATATATATATATATATATATATATATATATATATATAAAAAAAAAAAAAAGATCATTTTAAGGTACCATTATAATAATTTATTTCACCAGAGTCCTTTTAAAGGACGCCGGATCATCAGATAGCACTTCCAAAAATGAAACGAAACGAAAAATGAAATTAAAATTGTTGGGTAGTGTAAGTTTTTTGTAATTTAACAGAGAGTGTAAAAGGAGTAGTTAAAGAGACATGGTAGAGTATAGGGAGGGATTAATTTCATATCTCTCCCAAGCATACTTTGTATTGGGGGAGGAGGAGTGACCAGACCTTGAACTATATATATATATATATATATATATATATATATATATATATAAATGACGTTTTATTAAGAGGGATTATATATCAGGGTGTTTCATTGAGACGGTCTATGTCAGCAGATTATAAATTAGTATTATTGGCGAAAAAGTCCAAATGTCTGCCAAATCTGAAAGAAAAAGAATAAAATATTTGATACTTATTCACATGTAAACTCGGTCCAAGTTATTGGAATACCCTTTACATAATTTAGCTCTTGAAAATATATTTTCAATTGAGCACTGTTGAGTGATAACCTAATTCTATAAATAACACCCAGCAGCGTTAATGCAAAGCTCTTCAGTGAAATGAATAGAGCACTCCGGCTGATTGGCATTTGTTTACATTCGTAAAAACAATACGCTTGATTTAGTAGGTTCACTCTGCAGAATGAAGATAGCTCACTAGTAGAGGCTCTGACAGACAACAAATCGGTTGGGTTTGGTGTCAGTCATAGCTTGGCTTGAGGTATTCGGATATCTAGTCGCACTGACGAGCTGCAATACAGCGAAATAATACTGTCTGCGAATGATATATATATTGTCTGATAATGTAACTGTCCAGGTTTCAATTCTCGGTAGTGGATGCGCACTGCTGATTAGTCCCAAATATAGAACGAAACGACCGTCCAGTGCTTTCTGCATTCTGTTGAGGTTTCTTCTAGACTCGATGCATTACTTAATTAAAATTATCTCAAACCCTCCTAATAATTTTCATATATATATATATATATATATATATATATATATATATATATATATATATGAATGTTAAAAATAGTTTTATTGTATGCTATATTTACGAGTTAATGGGCTCAATATCAGGAGCAGTGCGTATGTAAATATAAATGTGGACACTGAGGAAAACACCCCGCCCGACAATCTGTTTCATGCCTAAACGTTGCCTGAAGGTAACGTTTGAGAGTGAATTTTTTCCTTGTAGATGTTGGAATTTTTGCGTACCCTGGTGAACTAGCGAGCCAGCCTAAATGAGCTGACTCATTTTATAGTTCGCCAATAGAAGGGTTAACCAATCAGAAGGCTCAAAATATTCAATGCGATGTGTATAAAGGCGGCCATGTTTTTTTTCCGAATATTCACTGGCAGCCTTTGATATCGAAGACTGAAGAATTACGCAACAGCTGCTGGTGGTATTGGCGATATAGTCAGATTCAGTAGAGTGTCTGACATGTGAGTGTTAATCTAGACAGATATGCTCGGAAAACAAGAGCAATCCGCCGAAAATTGTTTCTGCATAGCAAATTATGGAAAACTATTTGCATATAATTATTTGTTAAATAATGTAAAATTTTCATTTTAGAGTTTTATTCCTATAATAGTAGGCTTTGATTATTGTTAATAAAGAGAATGACATTTTTAGAAAACTAATTCAATTTTTACATGTTCAGGATTAATAGTTAAATAGTGTCACGGTGGAGTAACGGGTAGCGACTCGGATTGAGGAATCGAATTCTTGCCGAATCCATTACATTCATTTACGTGCTAATCCCCTTGGGAAAAATTTGACGCCACTTGGTCCAGGGTCGAATCCTTTGGTCACGGCGCCAACTGTGACGTCGCTCCTCCTGGTCGCTCTTCGCTGTTCCAAGTGTGACCTTCCAACCCCTTGGTTAGATGATTACCAGCCTCGCCTTTCCCAACTCGCTTCCAACATCTGGTTACTAGAGTAACTGTACTGATCTCCGGTCTGCCTACCCACGTTGTGATTAGATCTTAGACAGACTGGATCAAACAGGGATTGGGGCCGTATGCAAGTTGAGTTCGACGGGGGGTGGCAAAACACAAGTAAAAAAAAAAAAAAACTCACGAGGCCAAAAATTACTGATAAAAAAAAGGGTAACAACCTTTTATATCCAATGTTCGTTACACAAAAATTGTTCTTACCTCCCGACCCGCCCCGTGGACCGTGGCACCAAGCTTCTATCATACAACTTAAAGACTTCGAGTTGCCTACTCTCTAGAATTTTGTGTGTCGGAGTGTGGTTTGGTTTTGACACTGGGTGCTAATCTCTACCAGTCGTTCACGGCTGATTCTTCTCTTCGGCTTGAGTTGGACGAGCTTATTTACTTCGGCTTGAGTTATACGTATTTCTTCACTTCGATTTGGTTTGGACGAATTTCTATTCTCAGGCTTGGCTTGGTTTCAACTTCTTCTAGACGCAACTGCAAGTAACTTCTTCTTCTTCCGTCCTGCAACTCTTCTCTCTGCCGTCTGAGGTGATCTGAGCTCTCTGTCGTCCGGGTCTGAACTGAGCTCTCTGTCGTCCGGGACTGAACTGATCTGCTTGTTTGGCCTGCAACTTTACTGCCTGTCTGGTCTGCAACTCTTCTCTCTGCCGTCTGAGGTGGACCCTTCTCGCTGCCGTCCGGGGCTGAACTGATCTGCTTGTTTGGCCTGCAACTTTACTGCTGTCTGGCCTGCAGCTCTTCTTCTTGTCTAGCCTGCAATTCTTCGGCCTGTCTGGCCTGCAGCTCTTCTTCTTGTCTGGCCTGCAATTCTTCGGCCTGTCTGGCCTGCAGCTCTTCTTCTTATCTTCGACTTCTCTGCGGCTTTCGAGCAATCTTCTTCTCTTCTACTTGGCTGGACGAATTTCTTCATTCTGGATTCTCTTGCCCGCAAGGGGGCGAGTGAACCGGGCCTGCCGCCCGCGTTCCAACTGCTCTGGCCGTCTACCCCGCAGTCCAGCTGCAACTTCTCTGCGGCTTTCGAGCGAGTTTCTTCTTCTTCGACTTGGCTGGACGAATTTCTTCATTCTGGATTCTCTTGCCCGCAAAGGGGCGAGTGAACCGGGCCTGATGCCCGCGTTCAAGCTCCCTCGCTGCCCGCGGTCCAGCTGCAACTGATTTCTGTCGACTGGGGTTCTGCTTTTATTGACGCCGCAACAAACTGGGGTGGGTCTGTCGGCGTCAGGGTTTTCTCGATAATTCAAAAAGTCGCATTATTTCTGATTTCCCATTATCGCTCTTATTTTCACCCCTACTTCCTCGCAGTGCCTCTGGTGGGGAGGCGCATACCCATCTCTCCCGGTCTCTCGTATGTCAGGTGACCGTTTTCGACCAATGGGTCCTGGTCGAGAGTCCTTTCTCCTCTTTCTCGCATATCACGTGACCGCTTTCGGCTAATGAGATTCTGGTTGGGCGTCTCCCGTACTTCGTGACGTCTCCAATCGGGCGTGGCTTATCCCATCTTTGTTCTGGGAAAGAACACCTTGCTAAAAAAAACAAAATCCAATTTGGCCTTTTTCGCACGCACGAAAAATGACAATCTCGGCCTTTCTCACCTTTCTGGTTTTTGTCAAAACAGCCCGCCGCTAATTAGATGTGACTTCAGGAAGAATTTTTTTCGTCTCGCTGGCGCTTTCTGTGAGCCAAGAACAATTGTTTTCACCTCTTTGTTTTTGCTCAGACCTGATAGTCAAAAATCTTAATTATCTGAATTGAAAATGTCTTCACTTCATCATCGTGGGGGTTCTAATTTTTAACAGGTCAGAATCTGTATACAATTCCAGCGGTCACCTTCTCATCCCAAAAGAAACCTTTCTCCGATTAATATTTCGTTTTTCATTGTTCTAAAAATCCCATTTCTCCAAATTGATAATGAGTCTTCTACACAAAAGTAGGCCAGATGCTTTGACCGACATTTTTATCAATCGTACATATGTTCATACACTTTTACCAAGTCTGTTTTCTTTCTTTCTTTTAATTACCTTTAATTCTATTCTTCCAAATAACAATTTCCATTGTCTTTGAAATTCGGTCAGGCGCGTTGGCCTAGATACCTCTTGACACCTGTTTTCGCTAATGACCGGCCTTTTGCATTACTCATCCTCTCCCTTTCTTTTCCTCTTTCTCTTTTTCCTTTTCCCTTCTTTTTTTCTTCCCTTAGGATCGCCTAAGTACAATTAGAGAATTATTCTCGAAACTCAATTATTCTTCGTCTAAAAAACTAACAACTGGTTAATAAACCGAATAAAAAAATTAAATCATATTTCTATGAATATTTCTTTTTTTTTTTTTAGTTTTTTCTAATAATGCAGGGTGCCACAAAAATATGGGTAAGTAGCAGAACAGATCGGGTTCTATAGGCTTGGTCTACCGGAGAAAGAAATGGCAACCTACTGCAGAAAGAAATGGCAACCTATTAGTCAGTCATGTATCGAAAGATATATGATCGCCTAAGCGTGTATCACGTATGACACATAACTGTCTGACATGTTAAACAGTAACATTGAAGCTTGCAATTTGCTAAAGGGAGATCAAAAAGCGCAATTTTGTGTCTTTCGCTGCTAATCATTGTAATAGCCAGACACTTCATGTTCAAGTTCAGGAATTATCTACAAGATTCTTTCGAGACGTGCCATGCGTAGTGATGAGAAAGTGACATTCTAAAAGGTATCATTACGAAATCCAAGTACGTTTTAATTTTTTTTCCGAAAAAAAAAATAAATAAAATAAAATAAAACGTGATTGAACCCTAAAAACAAATTACTTTGTCAACAAAGTTCAGTCGTTTTTTGTTTTTTAAAAGATCGATCTGAGTCAGTCTTGAATGTCTAAACCTCTTTAAAAAGCACCAAACGCAATCAAAATTAAACCTGTCCCAACTAACAGGTAAAAAAAAAAAAAAGAAATCTGTCGTCTCATCACCAACCAATGCTATTTCACATTTAATACTGTGTTTTACAAATGGGATTTCCTCTTAATATGAGTGATGGTGTCTATTTTCTCAGAATTTCTTGAAATACTTTACCCACTCAACATATACTGGTGATGCTCTGAAGAAATACCTCCCACATCTTGAACTGTGACAAAAACACAAAGGTAACAGTTATTAAAAATAAATGTATGTGACTCTTGTTTAAAAAATGGCTACAGTTTTTATTCATTTGGTTTCAAAAAAGACATCCTGCTGATGTTGTCTTCGACTGTTATAGACGATTTCTAAAATTTTCTATTACTCGGAATTTAGAGCGCTTCGATGTTTTTATAAGTGGCTTTCTTTTAAGCGCTGAACCTGTGGCCAATTAATTTTCTGGAACAACATTATTCCGACGTAACATGAAACGAGCACGAAAAGTTTTGTGCGTTGCTGTTGTAGCATACCTACAGACGATAACGGGTGTGTGTCCCCATTCACATAAATATAGTAGTTAATACTGTATGTTGGTCTGCAGTCGGAGATTCGTCTCCAGCTGGCTGGTCAAATTCCCTGCCGCCGGACAGAGATGATCCCCAGGCGAGGCTATGTCGAAGGACAGAGTCTTGTTTTAGCATACAGCAACCCGACCCAGTTTTATATGGAGTCTACGAGGAATTTTTAACCGAGCTATTAAATTCGGCCTTCTGCCACATCTGAGCGCGTTGGGCGGTAAATAGATATCCTGCAGTTAGAGATTCGTCTCCCGCTGTGCTGGTCAAACTGCTTACATTAAAGAGGATACCCAGCCGAAACTCTGTCGACGGGCAGAGTCTCGTCTAGTGAAACAGCTACCCGATACCGTTCTATTCGGGGTCTACGGGGAATTTTTAGCCGAGCCTACGGGCTCGGATACTCCACATTAAATTCGGCTTTGTGCTACATCTGACCGCGTGGGGCGGTTGGTAGATATCCATCAGCTGGAGATTCATTATGGAATTCATTTGACTCACTTTTAACATTTGATTTCTACGCACCGCTGGCGAATCTTATATGTGTTGTTCTTGTTCAAAGTTTTATCGTTCATTACCAACGTTCGTGTTGTTATTTTATTTAGTACTCTGCCTAAGATTACAACAGTTGCAAACACCGTTTTACCAGTCTTAAAAGAAAGATTTCTACAGTAAACGCATGGTGTGTATAGCTTCAAGCCATAGTCGTAGCTAGAGAAAAATAGCAAGACATTAGCTTGATGAAGGTACGATTACTACTTGCGCTCCACACAGGTGCTTTTTTAAAACGTGGAGGTATTTCTGCCGAACCCCGTATTATACTAAGTTTGCCGGAAATTTTAGAAAAGCCATGTTATATATATAAATTTCTTCCTTCGTATTCACCCTTATACAACCGTTTCTGTTTTTAGTCTTTCCTTTTGATATTTTCAATTCTATTTAATGTAAATAGAATTGGAAACTTCAAACTGCTCACACACACACACACACACACACACACACACACACACACTTGTGCATATATATATATATATATATATATATATATATATATATATATATTTTATATATTATTTTTATAGATACAAGTATTTAAGTAAATGGTATGTTTGTAATAAACAGTTTTAACGACCTGAATGTCCAAGAAATTTTCATAGAAAATATGCCTCTTCCGACAGGAATCGAACCTGTATCCTACACAGAACCTTCGTATATTGTCCTAATCTTTGCCGCCATGTTTATCACAACGTTTCGGCCGTTGTACACTCTGTCGAATTGAACCCTTTATTTCGCTCACTGGGGTAGACTGTTCTAGTTCCACGTGCCATGTTTAATGGATGTGAGTTATCTCCTGTTAATTCACCTCTGAAAGTTCTCCACTGCCTTAACCAGGTATTGAACTCACACTATCCGGGACCTCTCACTGGATCTAACGAACGCCTTTATCCACTTTGCTACAGTGGATAAAGGCGTTAGTTAGCTCCAGATGAAATGTCGGGATAAACATGGACACAAAGATGAGGACAATAATCCGAATAATGTAAATCGTGTTTTCAATTCTGTCAATAAATCGAGTTTTTTCCCCCCTAAATATTTGTTTCTTCTGCTTCTCCCAATTTGTTGAGATGTCTGTCAATATTTATTTATTTCCTACAAAAACCGCACTTCAGTCTTCTCTTCATCTTCATCCTTTGACTATCTCTTCAGTTTTATTCTTTTCTTATTTATTTAAGCATCTTTCACCCACTTCAGTCTTGTTATCCCTCAGGGACTTAAAAGAAAATGTTTCATACTTGTATATACCCCCAAGCATTTTTCCCTCAAGTAATTACATATTTTGACTGAACGTTTGTCTAGGTGAATAAGAAAAATTGGGAGTATGGCGTTGACTATTACAGTTCGTTCTCGTCGCAAAATGTTCGACAGTATCCGAACACCTACCCGACTGACAAGAGCCCGACGGGCAAGAGTCCGACAGACAACTGCCGAAAAGGAAAACTGCCCGGCAAAAAAATTTCCAATGGAACAACTGTCCGACGGAAAATGCCAATAATATATATATATATATATATATATATATATATATATATATATATATATATATATATATTAGTGTTTAAGCCTTTTATTATATCCTTACTCTGTCCTAGACATTGAGTTCTACCTGGATTCTTCCTCTTGGAATTTTTTTTTCTAAAAATATATATGTATTGGTATTTATGTATTTTGCAAATGTATGTATATTTACCACTAATATTATCTATCTATCTATCTATCTATATATATATATATATATATATATATATATAGAGAGAGAGAGAGAGAGAGAGAGAGAGAGAGAGAGAGAGAGAGAGAGAATCTGTAGGGAAAGTATCATAGTATAATTTCAGTGCAATAGCAGTTTTCATCGTAGTAAATATTGAAAAAATACAACCATTTTTCTTGAAGGGAGAGAGGGAGAGACATCTTGATTCTTAATTTCTGATCTTCCTTGGCAATTTTTTATCGTACTAAAGAAAGACACGGTAGAGTAATAGATAGAGGCTCGGATTGAAGAATCGCAGAGCCGGTTTCGAATTCCAGTCGAATCGAATACATTGACTTACGTGCTAATACCCTGGGGAAAGGTATGAACCTTCTTCTCCTCCCCCACCAGGAAAGACCGTGTTTTATAAACTTGGATGTCACCTGGTCTACCCAAGAAAGAAATGGCAACCTAGTGAGGGGAAAAAACTGCTTCGTCAGTCATGTATCGAAAGATACATGATCGGCTAAGCGCGTATCTATCACGCATGGCACATAACAAGCTGGCAATATATACCTGTGATCTCTTTTGGGCGACATGGCCTTTTTGTGGATTTACAAGTTTCGGCGAACAAGTTGTTCTCGCAGAGCTGCTGGGAGACGTGTTTTTTGTCTGAGGACAGTGCCAAGCTTGTCTATCTTCGAGTTTCAAAGAAAAAGGAAATGAGAATGATCTCAAATGCCAAAATGTGGAAGTTCGCTCTTTGAAAGAACGCGTATTCCATCGATCTTCCTAATGTTTCATCGAGCTGGAGCCATGTGGACAACCGAGTCATATGGGTGTGCTTTATTAGAAATCCCACTAATCACACGTAAGCAGCCTGCTAAGAAAATGCAACTCTCTCGGGCATATAACAACAATATGCATCGAGAGCAAAAAAAAAAGTGTGCGTGTGTAGACAAAGGAATCAACGCAGCATAGCGACTCTCAGTTTCCTGTCCCAATTGATCTTCAAACTGCACACACACTCACACACACACACACACACATATATATATTTTTATACATTCTTTTTTTAAACACAGATATTTCAGTAAATGCTCTGTTTATAATAAACAGTATTAACGACCTGAATGCCCGAGAAATTTTCAAAGAAAATATGCGTCCTCCGACAGGAATCGAACCCTTATCATACACAGAACCTTCATATAGCCTGACGAGTTTTACCGATTTAACCACAGAGAAGCCTTTCGGTTAGCAAGGTCAATTTGACTGTTTTTAAACTACAATTCTCCATGATTTTCTCTCGTACATTCACATCTGCTCGATGCGTATCCAAATGTAAACAAATGAAATGGGCAAAGTCCGTCAATTATTTTAAGACATTTTTTATAGATACAAATATTTAAGTAAATGCTCTGTTTATAAAAAACAGTATTAACGACACCCCTAAATATATATATATATATATATATATATATATATATATATATATGTGTGTGTGTGTGCATTTAGCCACACTTTTTCATTCATGCATGTTTCATTAAATAATATAAAGTGTTGTCTATTTATTTTATGTAAATTATTTTCATAACGTCTGATAAGCTTAATAACATTATCATTAAACGAAGAAAGAAAATAACAATATTGAGCCCTATTTTTTAATCAAATCTTAGCTTTCGACTTACATCAGCCATTATCAAAGATATCAATTACTGTACAATATATTAAGCAATATACGGACAAGACAGTGATGATAGTCTGTTTCTGTTTACATGGATGATTTCCAAGCAAAGATAAACACGTGCATATAAGATGCTAGAAACGAAAATCGCATCGCATCTCATGACGTCATACATGACCACGCGAGAGTGAATTCGTGAAGTATTAAGTATGGGAAGCCGTTGGTATAAACCAATGGCTTCTGTTACCAATTATAGACATTTAAGGATATTTGTAGAGATGCCATAGTTGATTTTGTTTAGGTTAGGTTTCA